AACTGGCGGTCAGTTTCAGCAGTGGCTGAATCTGGACGCCAGTTCCGACTTACATACAGATTCAACTTAAGAACAAACCTACAGTCCCTATCTTGTACGTAACCCGGGGACTGCCTGTAACATGTTGAGTCAAAATCCTGCTTTTTAATTTAGCCCTAAACCCCATAGCCTCTGTCCTTGGAGAAAAGCAGTCAGTTTGTTCTAGTAAACACAGGCAAATATGTATCTTTCCTGATGTCTTTTAATTTAAAACTTATTTAATATTGAATGGCCTTATATTCTTGTTTACTGTATGTTTAAATTCCTAACCCTTATGAATTTCTTTATTCCACAGTTGTCCCTGTTATTTTAAAAGCATTGACATATGATGAGAAGCGGGGAGCCTGCAGCGTTGGTTCCAACGTAAGAGATGCAGCATGCTATGTTTGTTGGGCCTTTGCTCGTGCCTATGATCCCCTAGAACTGAAGCCATTTGTTAATCAAATTTCAAGGTGAGAATTGAAATGAATGAAACTTGTGAATGAAGTTAAGCTCCAGTCCTCCTCTGTGTATTTGGCTTGATAAATAGTGGCAAATTATTAAAGAGCTTATACACAAATGCTAGAAGTCTAAATAATAAAATAGGTGAACTAGAGTGCCTAGTTTTAAAGGAGGATATGTATATAATAGGCATTATGGAAACTTAGAGGAATGAGGACAATTAATGGGATACAGTCTCATACCTGACGAAGTGGGTCTTTGCCCACGAAAGCTTATGCTCCTACACTTCAGTTAGTCTATAAGGTGCCACTTGACTCCTCGCCGCTTTTGCAGATTCAGACTAACATGGCTACCCCTCTGATACCGAGTCTCGTACCAGGGTACAAAATATATCGGAAGGACAGAACAGGTCATGCTGGTGGGGGAGTGGCACATTATGTGAAAGAAAATGTAGAATCAAATGAAGTAAAAATCTTAAATGAGCCAAAATGTTTCATAGAATCTCTATGAATGGTAATTCAATGTTCCAATAATAAGAATGTAGCAGTAGAGCTATATTATCGACCACCAGATCAGGACAGTGACTGTGAAATGCTAAGGGAGATTAGAGAGGCTATCAAATTGAAGAACTCAACAATAGTGGGGGATTTCAACGATCCCCATATTTATTGGGTACACGTCACGGGATGCAGAGATAAGATTTCTTGATACCATAAATGACTGCTTCTTGGAGCAGCTGGTTCTGAAACCCACAAGGAGAGAGGCTATTCTTGATTTAGTCCTCAGTAGAGTACAAAATCTGGTTCAAGAGGTAAATATAACTGGACCGTTTGGAAATAGTGACCATAATATAATAAAATTTAACATCCCTGTGGTGGAAAAAGTCCCTCAGCAGTCCAGCGCTGTGACATTTAATTTCAGAAAGGGGAACTACAAAAAAATGAGGAAGTTACTTAAGCAGAAATTAAAAGGTACAGTGACAAAAGTAAAATCTCTGCAAGCTGCATGAAAACTTTTCAAAGACACCGTAATAGAGGCTCAACTTAAATGCATGCCCCAGTTAAAAAACATAGTAAGAGAACCAAATAAGTGTCACCAGGGCTTAACAACCAGGTAAAAGAAGCAGTGACAGATAAAGATATCTTTTAAAAAGTGGAAGTCAAATCCTAGTGAGGAAAATAGAAAAGAGCATATAAACATATAGTAAGAAAAGCCAAAAAGGATTTGAAGAACAGCTAGCCAAAACCTCAAAAAATAATAGTAAAATGTTTCAGTACATCAGAAGCAGGAAACTGGCTAAACTACCAGTGTGGCCCTTGGACGATCGAGATACTAAAGGAGCCCTCAAAGATGATAAAGTCATAGCAGAGAAGCTAAATTAATTCTTTGCTTCTGTCTTCACGGCTGAGGATACTGGGGAGATTCCCAAAGCTGAGCCATTCTTTTTAGGTGACAAATCTGAGGAATTGCACCAGATGAAAGTGTCATTAGAAGAGGTTTTGGAACAAATTGATAAACTTAACAATAACAAGTCACCGGGACCATGTGGCATTCACCCAAGAGTTCTGAAACAACTCAAATAGGAAACTGCTGAACTATTAACTGCGGTTTGTAACCTATCCTTTAAATTGGCTTCTGTACTTAATGATTGGAAGACGTGACACCAATATTTAAAAAGGGCTATAAAGGTGATCCTGGCAGTTACAGACTGGTAAGTCTAACGTCACTACTGGACAAATTCGTTGAAATTATAGTGAAGAATAAAATTGTCAGAAACATGGATGAATGTAATTTGTTGGGGGAAAGTCAACATGGTTTCTGTAAAGGAAAATCATGCCTTACTAATCTGCTAGAGTTCTTTGAGGGCGTCAACAAACATGTGGACAAGGGAGATCCAGTGGATATAGTATACTTAGATTTCCAGAAAGCCTTTGACAAGTTCCCTCACCAAAGGCTCTTAAATAAAGTAAGTTGTCACGGGATAAGAGGGAAGGCCCTCTCATGCATAGACTGATAACTGGCTAAAAGACAGGAAACAAAAGGTAGGAATAAATGGTAAGTTTTCCGAGTGGAGAGAGGTAACTAGTGAGTCCTCAAAGGGTCTGTCCTGGGACCAATCCTATTCAACTTATTTATAAATGATCTAGAGTGTCGTACCTCGGTGTTTTCGTACCTTGGTACCTTCAGTGGTCTGAACTGTCAGTGTTGTCTGGTCAGGGTCGTCCTGGCGTACTCCTGACAGGACCTCTACTCCGTTGATAAACTTTCGGCTGTGTGCGTAACGATCGGTACTCCCTTTATCTAGAGTGTTAGACCCCGTGCACTTGGGTCAACACAAGAGATCTCTGAGCGGCCCCGGAAACGACAGATGCAGGCAAGGTTTGAAATCAATCGAGCAGGTTTATTGTCAAATGCGAAGCTCTACCAGTTGGTAACAGAGATCAGTACAATGTTACACCACTGGGCACTATGGCCCGCGTTGACAAGGTACCAACACCGGGCAGGCCTATTGCCATAGAACAGATATTAACAGCAGTTAGTCAAAGTTAAGCTACTGTGCATTCTGTAAGTTTAGGCAATGACGCCTGCCGTTCAGGCGCCTAGTGCGCCCCCCCC